GTGGCTGTTGAGAACAAACAGACTGCATACCGCGCTTGGATCAGGGGTCTAGCTTCAGACGATCCCAATACGAACTCACATAAAACAGCCTACAATAATGCCACCAGGTCTTGCAAAAGAGCGTACATCAGAGCGGATGCTCAGCGCGTCCCACGAGTTGGCCAAGAACTCCTGACGCATCCCACTGGTAGTCGGAGTTACTGGCGTCTGGCCAGAGCCGTTGCGTCGAACTTCTGCCAGCCCTCACTGCCCCCGCTGAGATATTCTGACGGCAATCTAGCCCACAAGCCGCAAGATAAAGCCGACCTCTTGGCAAATCTGTTTGCGGCTAACTCCTGTCTCGACGACTGTAACGCACAGCCACCAACTCTACCTCACTGTGGCTACACGATGTCTGATATTTCTGAGTTCCGGACTCTTGGAGAGAGGCTAATGTGCAACCATTTCCCAAAAAAGGCGACCGATCAGACCCGCATAATTACCGTCCCATAGCCATTACTTCCATAATATGCGGTTTTAGAGCGGATCCTTAACAAACAACTGACCCAATACCTAGAAGATCACTCCATAATTAATGATCGGCAGTATGGGTTTCGTCCGAAACGATCAACGGGTGACCTTCTAGCGTACTTATCGCATATTTGGGGTGAGGCTATAGACAAACGTGGCGAGTCGTTGGCTGTTAGCCTCGATATAGCCAAAGCGTTCGATCGGGTCTGGCACAAAGCTCTTCTCTCCAAGCTCCCGGCGTACGGTTTGCCAGCCCAGTTATGCAGCTGGATTGCCGATTTCCTTCGTGAGAGGAGAATTCGCGTCGTTTCTGACGGCAGCATTTCGAGGTTCGTGAATGTGAACGCCGGCGTACCGCAGGGATCCGTCCTATCTCCCACGCTTTTCCTTCTGCATATCAATGATATGCTTCCACTTGGGAATATTCATTGTTATGCAGATGATAGCACTGTTCATGGGGGATATCACGGATTCCCCGCAGCTGGGCGCGCCGATACTGACAGAGAGCGATCTGATCTTGCCGTTGAGCTCAATAGGATATTGGACCTCATCTCTGCATGGGGATCTAAAAATCTTGTTGAGTTCAACGCCAAGAAAACACAGGTTTGCGCGTTAACAACAAAATTGTCGCCTTTCCTTCCCATGCCTTCTCTGATGAGCACAGCACTTTCACCTCAGAGCAGTTTTACCTTGCTCGGTAAGGAAATCTGCTGTGATTTGAATCCAAGGAGCTACATCGAATCTGTGATCAAAACAGCCTCACGGAAACTCGGAGTCCTGAACAAGGTGCGACGTTGTTTCACGCCGGACCAGTTATGCCTGCTGTACAAAACACAGGTCCGGTCTTGCGTTGAGTATTGTTCGCACTTGTGGGACGGCTCCGCCAAGTACTTACTCGATGCCTTGGATAAATTACAGCGTCGTGCTACTCGAATCATAGGCGACGAAGAGGTCTCATCACACCTTGAACCTCTGCAACTGCGTAGAGATGTTGCATCGCTTAGCGCCTTTTACCGCATGTACCATGGTGAGTGCTCTGAAGAGCTGTTCAACCTCATCCCCCCTTCCCCGTTCCTGCTCAGAAGCACGCGTGCTGGCCTTCGTAGTCACCCTTTCACTACCTGCCGCATTCCATCGCGTACTAAAAGGTTCGGTGGCTCCTTTCTCTGCCGCACGGTTGACAAATGGAACTCCCTTCCGGCACATGTCTTCCCTCCCTCTTATAATATGGGGTCCTTCAAACGAGGCGTGAAGAGGCATATTGTAGGCAGGCAGGGTGGAGGTGGCTAGTGCAGTGAGGGTTCCATCGCTGCACTAGGTTCCTTCGTGTTTGGATACCACTTTCCACTTAACATCAGGTGGAGTGGAGTCATTTGCCTGTCATGTATAAAACAAAAAAAAAAAAACGTAAATAGACCGTCAAAAACTTACAATGAAATAGAGGAGTTGCTGGAAGTTGTTTCATAATTATTTTTATATAGGTAACCATTAATTTATAACTACTAATTATTTTATTGTTAAATATAGAAAATCTATTTTTAAGCTGTAATATAAATTTGCCCAAAAAGATGCCTAAAATACAGGTACTTAGTTTAGGCATTGCAATTACACATTAGATGCTAATATTAAAATGTTGTAGCTTTACTATGAAGAATGTATAATTTAGATTCCCTTCTTAATTCTTATTTGAATACTATAATGGCTTTATTTACATTTGCTTTACTTGTATTGTATTAGATTAAGTTATACTGAAATAAATTTATCTTTATTTTTACACGGATAATTTGTACCTACTTCAGTATAGGTTCCCAAACTTTATTGGCTCATAGGCTTTTCTTCTGTTTAGCATAGCCTTTCTAAAGCTGGATTTACATTTGTCTGACGTGTCGTATATGCGTCAGAACGGTATAGGTTCCATACATTTAATTTGTTTAGATTTATATCAGTGTGTCGCAATCTGACGTGACGGATTGTGCTGTGTGTATGAATCGGCGTAATACGGTTTTTATTACAATTTTATCAACTTCAAATCACACATTACAACTAACATAGTATTATCTCAAAAATTGCGTATGTTATTCGCATGTAGGATTTAATTTCAAAGTGTGTATCATTGTATACAATACCTGAATAACGCAATTTTCGAGAGAATACTATGTTAATTGTTACGGGCAAAATGTGTTTTTGATAGCTGACAATTGTGTCACTTAAGTATCTGAACTTAGTATTTATTTGGTCTGTATATTCAGCAAAACCGATTATCCGGTTTTAATTTGATGTTGTATTATATTATATTTTCTCACATATTTTCGAGACCGATTAACTTGACCTGATAAGCATAGACATGTTTATTGTTGTTAAGGAGACGCTTAAATTATTGCCTATGTCCATCCTAATAAGATGAGATGGCGGCCCTGCCGGGATGCTTTTAATTTTGTGAAGCAAAACTGATAAAGTAATTGGACAAATCGAAAAAGCCAAAATTTTTGTCACGTCCTTTTTTTTGATGGGGGGGGGGGGGGGTTCTTTATGGATACCCCTAAATGGGTAACCTAACACAAATTCGAATTTCTTTTTTCCGAATTTCATCACTCCAAAAACGGTTCGACTTCTTTTCATTAGTGCGATGACAGTTTTGGTATAAATTTGCAACACAGAAAGGTCTTGGGGTCGTATTCCAGAACTCTATTCAATGCTCAAGTCAGAATGCTCAAATACGACTCTAATGGCAGGGACTTGAGTATGATTTCGAGTGCAAATCCTGATTTGAGCATTGAGTAGAGTTTTAGAATACGACCCTTACAGTAGAAGTATCGTTTGTCCGGAAACCTATTATTAGAATAATTATTACTCATACGTATTCTTTGGGCAGAAGTTTGTTTGGTCTAATCATGTTTGTTATATTGTCTGTTTGCCATATAATTCAGATTGCTGAAAATTTGTTTCGACAAAATTATTATTCTCAGATAAAATTGTACCGCCATACCTATAAGATAAAATTGTACCGCCATACAATTTTACCATACAACTCCAAAATTCTGGACTGTACTTTGCTGGTCCACTTACGTAATTTTCGTCATACCATCGTGCTATGTTTTTGCTGTCATCTGAAATGTAATTTAAAAACAATGGTCTAGAGTATTCCATAAATAACTTATAACTGGATTGAGGAGAGTACCAGAGCCGAATTTGTTTGCATTTCCTAGTTAGGTCGAACCCCTCCTGTGGGTTTAGGTCAGGTTAGTATATGAAAAAACAGGACGAGCCGTGCCAGCGCAGCGAGTGTGCCGCGGCAGCGGCCGGTGAGTACCAGAGCCGAATTCGTTTGCGTTACCTAGACGGTACGACCCCATCCTGTCGGTTTAGGTTAGTTTAGTATATGAAAAAGCAGCACGATCCGAACGAGCGAAGCGAGCGACTACAACTCGATCAAATTAACTTGCATCTCGTCTACCATCTTTTCTAAAGAAGCGAGGTGTTTTAATTTGATTATTGTGCGATACTTTCTAATACTTTTAATATTTGCAATAAGAAATATTGTAACAAAAATGTATCATGGATATAGTTTTTTTTATAAAATAAAAATATTCAATTAAATTAGATATATTGGTCAAACGGTTTGTTGGGGAAATAAAAATCGGGAAAAGAATAACTTGTCAATACGTCAAAATAGTGAAATATGTGTAGGTGTAATGAAAAAAACCGTAACGTGTTTTCGGATAAATGAAACAAAATCTATTCAATAATAATAATAATATTTAATAATAATAATAATAATAATAATAATAATATTTATTGTCACAAAATAGATTACAACATATGGATGAAGTCCCTGACTCCTGAGCTAGGTATAACCTGTGTGACAGGAGCCAGTGCCCTCTCCCAAATTTTGACAAGGCTTAAGTCTATTTCATGAGAAAAATATAAATTAAAAATTTAATACAAAAAATAAAGTGAAAGAATCTATTATTAAAAGTCTCGATAAAAAGTACTCTAAGTAATAATTATATAACAAGTTGGATACATTGTAATATGCAAATTGTGATAAATATATCTGTGTAATTTTGTGTACGAGTGTGTGTGTGTGTGTGTGTGTGTGTGTGTGTGCGTGCGTGCGTGCGTGCGTGCGTGCGTGCGTGCGTGCGTGCGTG